GTTTATAGGTAATACACTTTCAGGAGTGGGGAAAGAATAGTTAAATTATGAATAAGTAAAGACAGCAGTAAGAGTATATAACAACAGGCAAAGTCACAACATTTAACAGTATTTAATAACAGTATTTAGTAATATTCCACTGTGTCAAACTGTGGAGTAATTGCTGTTACTAGGACTATTAAATCATGCAGTCCTCACAACACCTGTATAAAGGAACTCTTCCTACCATCCTTCTTGTTCAGATAAAAGAACAGCACAGGGAGGTTATGCAATCTGTCAAGGGCATGGAACTGCGCGATGTGGCTAGATCACATTTCCTCCGATGAGCAATGCATTCATTCGATAGTTAATTAAAATTGGTAATATTGTTAAAGAAGACATTCTTGTGTAAAGACTGATGGTCAACATCCTGATACTTGAGAATACTTTTAAAGATGCATGTAATTATTTTCACCAGAGTAAAAGTAATAAGGGAATTTAAATAAAAATAAAATGTTTACAACCAGAGCTAGCTCTACTTCAGTTAGAAACAACAAATCAGATCAGAACATTTAATTACTATCCAATCAACCTTTCTGTTCAGTGTGTCAGTTTAACTTAGAGAACCAAACAAAACATTTCTTTGTTTGTCAAGGATAGGCCATTAAAACAGGGGTGTTCTAAAATTGCATTAGAAAGATGAAAATGGTTTGTTTGATCTTCTGAATTTTAATATGTCAGAAAGATTATTGTGAAGAAAATTGGGCTCTCTGAAGTGACAGACCATTATTCAAATAACTTTGATTGAATGTAAGATTTTTTAATGCTTTCATAAAGGGCATGCACACTAATTTGGTTTATAAAAGAGTGGCTTTAAAATTTGAGATATTAGGGAAATATTTTGTTAGTTTAGTAATTATACTAAGTATTTTTAATTAGGTTGGTGATATTTTTGGATAATACCATTAATTAATAAATATATCTGGATTATAATTAGAATAAATTACTTTACGTGTACAATGTAGCAAGTCCTCAGTTTGAATTATTTGAGAGGTATTGCCAACATTTCTAAAACCATCTAGAACTAGCCTCAAAGGTTAGATTTGATTTTCTTTGTCTTAAAATAGTCATTCAAATGAATTATAGACTTGAAACCAAATAATAAGTGGAAACCAATCAGCCTCAATACATAGTTCTGCTTCTAACACTGCTTTGATATCATGCATTTGCCATAACCTCTGAAACCTATAATTATGTCAGAAGCATGTATTAGAATGCAGTTCATTCTGATTTGGTTTTCTGTTTAGAGTGGAGTATGTTAACACAGAAAGATACATTGTATTATTTTCTTATATATAATTATTCATTGATCATTTTAATCTCGGTCACTTAAGTAATTTCTATTATAAAAAATCTTAAGCTGACTTCATACTGTTTTTTCTGTCTTTCAAAATTTTTCTGCAGTTTTAAAAATGTTTATTTTATAACTAAATTTGTTTTCTTCTTTAATGATTTTTTAGTCTTATTTATTTATTGAGTTTTATTCTGTGCATGAAAAAGCCTAAGTCTTAAAAAATGTTCTTGGTTTACTGATATACAGATTTTCCTCTCACAAGTAGTCTATAGTAAAGAAATGCCATTTATCATTGTGGTATGGGAATTAGCTGATAAGGATAGGGATCTTTAAAATTAGCACTTGCTGTCATGTATATGAAACTGTACTATAGGAATGTTTATTTCTGGTTTCTACTTAATCTTACTTGTTTTTCTGTTTCTTTTGCAGCAAAAATGCTGGATAGAATTTCTTCTCACTGCCATTTAAATATATTCTCTTCTCTGTCAATTACCACAGGTTTAGTCCCTATGAGTGGTATAATCCACACCCATGCAATCCTGACTCAGACGTGGTGGAAAACAATTTTACCTTGCTAAATAGTTTCTGGTTTGGAGTTGGAGCTCTCATGCAGCAAGGTATACGATTCAGCCTGCTATTTCCCTTGGGCACCATGTCCCACTCTTTGCTGGGGGTGACAGCTCTCGCTGGCACAAGTCGCTTGCATGGGTGCCTCTGTGCATGTAACCATAATCCAGCTTCTCCATCTACCTAATGCATTTAGGTGTTCTCAAATCCCGTCCAAGAGAGATTCTGAGAAAATAACTAGCTTTTGCAAGTGCACATACAGTATACTCATTTAATTTTTTTTCTTAACCCACAGTAGGCACATTATTTCATAGATAACCAAGCTAACCTGATCCATTAGCTAGTAGCTGCATTTACAGTACTACTAAGATTACATCTTCTTGAGACAAGAATACAGTGTATTGCTCCTGTTTCCTGACTCATTTAGATGTAAAAAATTATTTCGTATTAATTCTTGATGGTTAGATGCATTTGTACTGCATGACTAATAAATCTACTGCATATAAATTTGCAAAATCAAAATATTTAACCATTTAGAGTTTCCTTTTTGAGTAAAATAGTAGCTGCATCTGATAGCATATGAGAATATAAAATAATGCATGCTCAGAAGTGCATGCAAAATTACTCGTTCATAATTATTTAAAATTTATAATATTAATGTTAAAAGTAAAAAGCTCTATTTCTTAGAAAATGACATAATACATGTAATATATCTTAAGGGTTTTTATATCACTGTGACTTCATTATTTTAGTCTCAGTTTTCCCAAGTTGAATTTATTTTTATTTTTGCTGCTATGTTTTTTAAATTAATCTTTTAATATTTATATAAAGTTCAATAAAGTGATATTTCAGACCTACTACTCACAAGATTTTGTTAGCCAAGATCTAAGAATATTTTATGCATTTAAAAAATGTAATGTTTTTTAAGTTGTAAAATTAGCAAATAAAGCAAAATGCCCCAAATTTGAACACATGACAATAACCGGATTAAGGAGAAAACACACTCCTTCATAAGAGTTACTGTACCTATTGTAAGTTTACCCTAAGTTTCAGTGGTGTACTTACTGTCCACTTTGAAGAAATGATTTTGGTAATTGCATTACAGATCTGAAGTGAAAATTAATTGTTAAATTATAAAATGCTGTTTATAAGTAGATACTTTGCTCTTGCATGTTTAATATTATGCATAAATCTCTTAATTCATTACTGTTTCATTTACAAACTATTTCCTAAAGTGAGAATAAATAACTACATATCAAAGAAAAAATTAATTTAACAAATACATGTTGTAAGCAAGGTCTACTAACTTGAAACAAATTTTTCTTTTAAAGACATGAGCATCCGTATATATAACCTTATAGATATTTAAATCTAAAACTTGAAACTTCAGCAAAAACCTTACATGAACTAACCTAAATTTGTGGCATTTATTTCTAAATAAAATGAATAGTCAGTAGTTATATTTTCCCTTTCCTACATTTTGGGCCCAATGTTTTTCTTTCCTTAGGCTTACTCGACAGTTGGTAGACAATATGGGAGTTCTTACAAAATATTAGAAGTTAATAAAAGCCTGTCTTATGAGATAGACATCTCTTACAAGTAGTACTGAGTAATACAGTTCACCCAGGCAAACTCCTAGTCACATGCTAATAACTAATCCTAATAGCCTGGAGTAATTTATCCTGATAATAAAGGCAAAAACGTAACAAAGATTATTAAAAATTATGTTTGCTATCACTTTGAAAAAAATATTTTTTTCACTTATCTTTTCTGAAATATTTGGAGTTTTTTGAGAATCCGCATACTGATTAGATTAACTTGATATCTAAAAAACCTAGCCATTAGAATTCAGACTATATTTAATAGCTCTGAAAATGATAAGTAATCCAAGCAATGAAAAATTCAAATATACATTTGCTTTGCCACATAACTACTTCACTGCTGGTGGATACATGAAAGAGGAACCCATACTAAACTGGCTGATGCCCAGCTCCCCAGGAATTAGTGGGATATAGTGCTGGACATGACGTTACCTTGAGTACATGACAGTCAGCCCCTAACCAGGCTCTGATTCACAAACCTAGGAGGTACTCGCTTTAAGTCCTTGGGTAAGATACGAACTTGTGGTAATTGGGCCTTTTTTGTCGAATGTCTCCACTGTTCTTTTCCTTCCCGGTCTTGTTTGACTTCACTGGTGCTGTTGTTAAGGAAAAAAAAAAAAAAAAAAAAAAAAAAAAAAAAAAGTAGAATGGGCAGCCAAAGCTGCTGCTGATCATCTTGGGAATATTTTAGTATTTCAGTGTTCGAGTGTGTGTCTGACAGGGCCTAGGAGCAACTACATCAGAAAGGTACTTTTCTGTTTTGTTTTGTTTTCTGTTATTTTTTTCCCCTCCCACAGAATGGTAGGCAGAGTCTGGAGCTGGAGTTGGCTGTCATGTCCAAGTCTGTCTGCTTTTTAAAATTTTGTTTGTTTGAAATTACAAGGGTAAGATGAACTGCAGTGTAAGATGGGCTGTTTTGATCTATTCTGGTCATGATACCGCTTTTTTTCAATGTTAACATGAATGATTTGTTGCATTTTTCATTCCATCTAAAGATGTGTTGCCTTACTGCATCAGTGATTATATGAAAGATCTGACTGTCAACAAATCAGCAAATGGAGTCCATCTTTGCTTCATTCCATTTTACTCAAACCCTATTAAAAATTAATTTGTAGCCAATGCTTTCTTGATTTTGGACTTAAAATGATTAAAAGTGCATAGTAATATATTACATATATTCATAAATTTAGTATACTTTTCTTATTAAAAAAATCATGCATGCTGATATGTATTCAGTTACACATTAAGACTGTAAATAGTGCACATAATTTAAACAATGTTGTAAAGCTATAAGACTTGATTTTAAAATTGTCAGGATTTTATTTTAAAATCTAAATTAATTAAATTAATAATAATCAAAAGTAAAATAGAATTCTCGGATCCCGTTCTCTTATTAATAGCATGAGCAGGCAACTCCAGCGATGTTTGTAATATGTTTATGAAATATTTATATATATGTAAAAATAAATTTGTGACAATATGTTTATTCTGATTCTGATTCTTCTCATTGAGGATAACTATAGTGATGGGAGACATTTGTTTGTACATAAGGAAATAATTTACTACCTTATTTCAAAATAAACCTGGACTAAAACCTCATATCTCAAGGAATATAGGTAATTGAAATTTATTTTTGTGACACATAACTTTTTAAAATGGCAAAATAGACCAAATTTATGCTTTCATGCACATCAAAAAATGAAACTTTATAGAAAGCGTGTTAAGAAATGGGTTTGAATGTATGTTAAATCATTTCTTCTAAAACCAAAGTAATTAACAAGAATATGAAAAGCCATACAAGTAGTTTATAAACTAGAGATTTTTTTTTTCTCCCTTCTAATGCTGTTTTTATAAGGGTTATTACTAATCTGTCCTGTCTCAGATAGAACTTAAGTCTCCTGCCACTATACTTAACAAGTGTCCTAAGAGACGGTTTATTATCTGAAATTAGCCTCTGCTCTCCCAATGGTTGTTGCTTGCTTTCTAAAGCAATGTGTGAACCTATGATTTAAGCTTTTATTACACAGTGATTCCATTCTGCCACTGTGACCAAAAGTACCTGACTGCTGATCAAATTCTCTGTATTCGTTTCACCTTTTCCCCCCAATCTCTGTTAGGTTCTGAGCTCATGCCCAAAGCGCTCTCCACCAGGATAGTGGGAGGCATTTGGTGGTTTTTCACACTTATCATCATTTCTTCGTATACTGCTAACTTAGCCGCCTTTCTGACAGTGGAGCGCATGGAATCCCCTATTGACTCTGCTGATGATTTAGCTAAACAAACCAAGATAGAGTATGGTGCGGTGGAGGATGGTGCAACCATGACTTTTTTCAAGGTAAGTCCTACTGATTGTCTACAATTTACATATTAAAATGATAGAGTGCAAACAAATCTCCCTCTCTTAATGGATGTAAGGATGTAGCAACACTGTAATTTGTGAAGAATAATCAATAGTCAATAATCCTCAATAATCAACAATCAATAATAATCAATAGTAAAAAATAATCAGGTTCCTCAGGGGATGGAGGGGTATGTGTACAACTAAATACACGGTCATTAAGGCAAAACATTTTAATACTTGCAAATGGCAAGGAGTTCTTGCTTTGCAAGTATTCCCTTTTTGTTCGAAGGCAATTCTGCCCATGGCAACATTTTTTTTTCTCAACAAGGTTTTATCTTTGAATGTAAATGTCTATACATTTATTAGTATATATTAATATATTAGTATATTAATTACATTAAACATAATATAGTTAATATATAATATATATCAATATATGCCTAATGTAATGAATATATTAATACAATGTATTGATTATATATTAATATATATTTGTTAATATATATTAAATAGTATTAGATTCAGACTCTACCAGGCTTAGCTGTTCCAGAGGAATAGAATGATTACATACATACATAATATTCTTATATACACATTTCTTTCTGTTAAGGTGAAACAAGGCTTGTTTACAAGCCTACAGAAAAAGAAGGAAAATAAATGATAGAAATAAGCCAAAACAATTCTTGTTGATGCACATTCATCTAATGTTCTGTAAGGCACAGAGTTTCAAAAGGAGCTATACCACTGAACTCATAATGGTTTCCAGAGGGACAGCCCTGTGGAACACTTGAATGGAAAGTGCTTGAACCAGGTTCCAGGCATATAGAGTATCTTACCCTCTTTATTTTCCCTTTCTTCTTACTCCAGCTGATCTCATTGGGCCAAAATACTGTACTCTAAATCGGGTGATTTCACTTCAGGGAGTCAATATCACTTTGTAATTTATTTTATATTGTACCAAGTCTTTTTGTTTTGTTTTGATGTTGTTATTGTTGTTGTTGTTTTAATATGCAATTTATTGTCAAATTGGTTTCCATGCAACACCCAGTGCTCATCCCAACAGGTGCCCTCCTCAATGCCCCTCACCCACCCTCTCCTCCCTCCCATCCCCCATCAACCCTCAGTTTGTTCTCAGTTTTTAAGAGTCTCTTATGTTTTGGCTCCCTCCCTCTCTAACCTTTGTTTTCTTTTTCTTCCCCTCCCCCATGGTCTTCTGTTAAGTTTCTCAGGATCCCCGTAAGAGTGAAAACTTGGTATCTGTCTTTCTCTGTATGACTTATGCTAAGTGTACTAAGTCTTTTTAAATTCTTTGTATGTCAGACAAAATTTTAAGCATTGGTATTTTCCTTCACTGTTCATACAAATGTAATAGGAAGTTTAAGTATGCAGAAGTGATAACTTTTTTAAATAGTTGAATCAAACTATAAAATAAATTCTCTCATCAAACATTCATCACGTACCTGTTGAGTACCAGAAATTGCATTACATATTGGTCTTCTAGAGCAAATAACATCTATTTCTCACTTTTAAGGAGATCATAGTTTAGTTGGATGACTATATCAACAATCATGGAACTGGGTTTTATGATACTTAAAACACAAACTTTGCCAAAAATTATATAATTTTTGTTGTAAAAATTCTCACAAAACTAAATCATCTCTTTTTCTAGAGTTCTGGAGGACATAAATATCCAAAGAATGAGATAGGTTGATTGTTTAGTCAAATCTATATAATTCTTAAAATGTAATTATTTTCAGAGTGAATATCTCATATGGCTAGACGAAAGCTTAAAATGTGTATTTTTACATTTATTTGGAAAATCATTATTATTTAATCAAATTTGTTAACCAAAAATGAGCAAAATATTATGATCAGTAAGTGCCATTTGACTATATTAATTACAACTGATCAATTTTCCCCATTGAATATTCAGAATTAATAAAGATAGCTTTAAAGATAGCTTTTCTTATATAGCGTTTTTTGTTTTGTTTTTTGTTTTTGTTTTTTTTTTGTTTTTTTTTTTTTTTTTTTTTAGAAAAGGAAATAATCTGTTGAAATGCTAAATGCACATTGTATGTGTCAGTAACTTTGTAGGGAGTGAATGTGGGATGCATTAAAATTGTTATAGTATTCAAGAAACTTTTGAATAGAGTTTGTTAAAAAACACCAAGTATCTAAACCAAGTGATTTGATTGACATCAGAAGTTACTATTTCTGTTTCAAAAATACATCAGAGTTTTCATTTTATTTTTTATATTCCAGAAGACTCAAATATCTTGTTTCAAAGTTCTTTTGTACCATGAGCAAGGTTTATCTCTAGAAAATCAACTTAAAAAAATTATTTTTTTCTTATCTTTCAGCTTATTCTCTCCCCCTTTATTTTGTCTTTTCAGTCTTTTCAATTTTCTCTTTCTTTTTAAAAACTTTTAAACAATTTTTTTAATTTTAATTTTTTTAGGTAAATTATGCAGTATTAGTTTCTTTTTTTTTTGCCTACCTTCACTTTTCTTTGCTATTGACTTTTCTTCTTACTCTTTCAGCCCTTGTTTTCTCTCTCACGTGCAAGGGTACCTCTAGCACCAGGAGAAAATTGACATAGAACAATTTTCTGTTTCCAACAGCACAGACATTCTTTCTGTAGAATTAAGGCCTTCTGGAATCCATACTACTCACAGTAAAAACCACACAGTGATAATCACGAAGTTGACAATTAACCTTATGTTGATAACTTTATCACATGCTGAATTCTTACTTTAAAATTAGAAAAAAAATTAGAATTTAAAAGAATACATTAAATATTGACTTCTCTTTAGTTATTTTAGTGTACCCCTAAATGATACTAATTTCAACCTCATATTTTAGTTTGTTAAATTATACACTTATACCAGCCATGGGTGTAAAATTTAAAAATATATATATTCCTTAACAATCTGGAATTAAAGTAATTGCATGCTCATTTTGCAACTTCACAATGAACCAGGGACTAGTGTGTGTATTCTATTTACATTTGATACCATTCTTTTATTTCTTAATTAACAGCAATGCATACAAACACTCTAGGAAGCACCCTTAAGGCATTGATTTCTAAAGGAATTTCCATCTTGTTTTTACAAATTTAACAAGACCCTGCTGTTAGTTAATTGTTCTGGAATGCTCAGTTCCAGAAAATTATTTTAAAGAATGGTATAATTTTGTTACTACAAGCAAGAAGAGCTGGCTCAAGATACCTGACCTTAAAGGGGTAAGTCCTCAGTATTGCAAAAACACAGAGTTATGCCATTCTCTAATATTAAATAATCCTTTTTCCAAAGAACATGCTTGACTTTGTTTATCGAGCTTACGTGTATATTGTCTTCAAGAAGAGTTCTTTCTTCTCCTCTTTTATATCCATTACACTCCATGCGCATTCTTCCCAGGGATAAATGTAAAGTCATGACTGGTAAAGTAACTCAAAATTGAGCAGATGGTAGTTCTTCAGAGTTATTCTTTATAAACAGCAGAAAACTGTATGACATCACCAATATATATTCTTAATCATATTTTAATGATAAAATAGCTGAAGGCCCAGGGATTTCATTGAAAAACAATAAAGGAGTTGTCAAAACCTCCTTCTCGGAATCTGGGGACTTGGTGTAGTACAACTGAAATCTCACCCCAGAGCTGAACACTACACAGAATGTTACTAAGCAACAAGCACATTCTTTTCTCCCGAAGTATAAAGATTAGGAGAATGAATACATATAGATTACATGTTCAAAAATAACTCAGTGAGAGCCTGTAGGTGTTATGGTTTCTTTTGAGAATCCCTGTATTTTCAAAGTGAGTCCTATGTTTTACAAAGTGATGCTGAATCACTTTGCTTCTATGCAACGCATGACTCAGGTTTTCCAATTCCTGACAATTCTCTCTCTGGGTTTGGTCTACCTGAAATCTCAAGCTTGCTATGTATACAAATACAGTCTGTCCTTCCAAAAAAGATGGTATCAAAGGAGATACCTTTTTTATGGTTATTTTAAAAAGTTCTGCCGTATATTGTAAGAAATTTAAATAGTATCAAACATACAATGCATATCACTTAATGCTTCTGAAAATAAAATCTAAAATTCAGAATAGTTGTTATGAATGAAAAAAAAAAAAAACCTGAAATCAGAGAAACTGGGGCTTGATTCCTGGCTCCACCACGTATGGGCTGTATTTAGGTAAGATACTATTCCTTGTAAACCTCTGACTCCTCATTTCTACATTGGATTGACTAACAGAACCATTCTGAAAGTATTATTTGAATATTAAATGAAAGCTGTACATGTTTGCTAACCATCTAGTAAATGCTTGACGGAGGCTATATATAGCATCACTAAAATACATGGCTAATTTAAAATATTCAGAATTTAGGATGATTTTAAACATAGTCAAGTAAATTATGTCTCTATGGCCCACAGTAGGATAAATAATTTTGAAATAGATTTAAGAAGAGATCACATCATGTTTATCTAATTGAAATTGCTTCAGTCTTCTGATAATTATTGTCATGAAGAGGAGGTAATTTGGTAAGTGAAATAAAAAGAAACTATGAGAGCTCTTTTCTAGACTGTGTAGTTTGAAATGGTATATTGAGGTGCATTTAACAATTCTTTGGGGAATTTATTGCAAAGCATAGGTAAAGGGAACTATCAAAATATTTAATATAAAAAATATTTATCCTTAACTTTAACTTTTTTTTTAACCTAATGACTAAGATGTCTTATTTTAGGCAGTATTGCCATTCACCTTATGTTCTCAATTACATGCTCATTTGTAAGATATCAAATTTTTATTCAAGAAATAATTACCGATCATCTCTTATGTGGTAAGAACTGTGTTAAATCTTAAACATATTTCCTATATCTCCAAGCACTGCCTGCACCTGTCCATTCTATCTCCTATATATCTATTTCCTTTACTGCTTCCTTTACTGTTTACTGTTTACTGTTTACTGTCCTGGTTATGAAAACTAG